AGGAGCATAGACAGGCATGTGACAAAGCTATGTTTGCTGGCCCCATGAGCATGTGCTCCCGAAGGGCTGGCAGAAAGGGCTTGGTGGTGCTTTGGCATTTCCCCTGACAGCGAGCTCTGAAGTTGGCCCCTCTGAAATGAGTGTCTTTGGGAACAGAGGACAACATAATGTTGGCCCAGGTCCCAGAGCTCTCATAGAGGACCTGGGGGCAGTCAACAGTGCTCAGTGCAGGGTATGGACTAAGCATGGGCTCTGGGCTCAGGTTCTGGGCCTGCCACTTATGATCTGTGTGACCTTGGAGGAAGGTAGCTAACTTCTCTGTGCCTCAGTTTCCTCAGCTATGAAATGGGAATGATAATAATACCTACATTAAGGCTAATTATAGGTCAAATGAATTAATATGGTAGATGAATAACTGGCATAGGGTTAGCTATTATTATTAGCTGGCTTTGTGTGCAATGGAGGTAGGGGAGCAGGGGGAGGTGGTAGCTGGAGTGCTAGAACAAGTGATATGAAGGGGCAAAGTCTGCTTATGAGTTCACACTGACCTGCTTCTGGGGGCTTCTAAAACCCTTTGGAGGAGTTTTTCGGGTAGAAGCTAGAGCCAGTGAAAACTGGGCTCTTACAGCTAATGTGAGCCTCCTTGTACCCTCGGGATTGCAAGGCAATTCTGAGGATGCTGCACTGTTCATGTGAGTCAGCTTCCTCCTGTGGCTTCTGGTCACAGCCCAGGAGCTCATCCAGGCCTGGGTAAGACTGCATCTGGATCCTCGGGCCAGGTCTGGGGCCCTACAATGAGGGGGAGATGGGCTGGTATGTGTCCTGAGTGGAGGTTAGGAAGGCTCTGAACACTGTCATGGGAGCAAAGACCAAAGAAACTAGAGAAAAAGAGACTCCAGGAAGACCCAGAACTGCCTTCTTACAACTGCAGAATTCACCCCACAAAGCTGTATGGAGGGCAGAACCGAGGGAGAGTCCTGGGAGAGGCAGTCTAGCTTGACCAGGACAGAGCTGGCCAACCAGGGCACAGGCTTCCTTGGGAGGTGGTGAGCTTTTTATTACAGAAATATTCCTGTAGAGTCCTAGGCCAGGCGTGGTGGCTCACACCTGTAATCCCAGCACTTTGGGAGGCTGAGGTGGGCAGATCACTTGAGGCGAGGAGTTTGAGACCAGCCTGGCTGACATGGTAAAAGCCCATCTCTACCAAAAATACAAAAATTAGGCAGGCGTGGTGGCACAGGCCAGTAGTCCCAGCTACTCAGGATGCTGAGGCACGAGAATCATTTAACCTAGGAGACGGAGGATGCAGTGAGCTAAGATCACACCACTGCACTCCAGCCTGGGCAACAGAGTGAGACTTCATCTCAAAAATAAAAAGAAATATTCCTATAGATTCCTAAGACCTACCTCAAGAGATTCCAATTCAGTAGGTCTTGGATGGCTGAGGAATCTGGTGTTCCAAAAATTTCTAGGATGACTGAATGGGGCTCACATTATGGAGAGCTTTGCCTTTCTGGGAAGAGCTTAGATGTGACCTGGGATTCTTTTAGCGCTGGCAGTTTGTCATTCTGTGGTCCGCTAAGGTCCCAGACTTGTGTCCTGACAGTGTCTATTGCTGGCAGAACCCCTTGGCTCCAAACTCTTCCTTTTAAGTCTCTCCCTATTGAAGGGCCAATGCAGAAAACCCCACTCAGGACATAGCCTTGCAGAGTACGTTGCTGGGAGGCTTTTGTGTGTGTGTGCCTGTGTGATATTTGATTGCAGCTTCTGGTTAAGGACCTGAACGTGTGTCTGTCTGTGCGTGCGTGTGTATCTATGTGTGTGTATATGTAGAAAAAGAAACAGGATCTAGTCCTACAGATTTTGTGTTTGAGTATGAGAAGGCCTCAGCTAGTGCTCATGCCAGTGATGGGAAACAGGGGCTGGGACCTGAGGAATCAGAACTAGGGCTGGACCCCAGGGAGCTGTAAACTCAGGATGCTCTGTTCTTTGCTTGCTTCACAGAGTGGGAATTCAGACAGGATTGGGACTTCCAGCCGAGTCATCCTGGCCAGGCACGCTTCCTTGGCTGCCTGGCTTCAGATGCTCCCAGGGACTCAGGCTCCTGCTCCCTGAAGGCTCCAGGCTAGCTGCTAAGGCCTGACCCTCCCAAGGCTGTGGCTACCTGAGAAACCCAATATGCATTGTCTGGTGAGTGCAATAATGGGAGAAGCACTTTACCCATCATGCCTGGTTGCCTTCTGAAAAGCTTTAAGATGCCTACGGCGTGGCAGTAAGGAAAGAGGGTAAAAGAAAGTTAAGTTTGATGTGGCCTCTGGTTGGGGGCTCTAAACTGCCCCAGCGTCATGGTCCCTCAGGCTATCAAAGGCTCTTGAGGGCTGGGTTGAACATGCAGGGTCTAGGAGGCAGCAACACCCTTGTATTGGGTGACACATAAGAACCCAGAAGCACAGCAAAGTTAACAGACTTGTTCTCAAAGTTCCTTGGCCAAGACAAAGTTTCTTGACCAGAATGTAGAGGAGCTGGGATTGAAGCCCAGCTTGGTATGACTGCACTGTTTATATTCTTAAATCCTGTGCTATATGAACTCCCTGACAGGACCTGGGCCTCCTGGCTCCCAGCTCCTGTGAATTCCTGTTGGCCCTCCTAACCATCGTGGCTTCCAAATGCACATAGGTACAGCACCATTAGGTTGGTGTGGTCGTGTTTCTAGAGGTTGCCACATGAGGAGAGGGTTCCATGAGCTTGCCTGCCACAAAGTTGAGTGTAAGGGAGCTAGCCAGTGATTGGCCAGTGGGAGCTCCAAATTGCAGTTCCCCATGAGTTCAGCCTCCCTGTGACCCTGAGCCAGAACCAACTCTTATTAAATAAGAGACAGTCTCTGAAGGCCCTTCAAGGGCCATGATTCTCTGTGCTCCTGGGAAATGAAGACTATAAAGAGGATGTTTGCAGGTGCTGAGAGCTGCTGCATTATTGGAGCCCAGCAGAAGTACCCATGAGGGAAGAATGCATGAGTGAACATTATTTTTGCAAATGGGTAGATTCTTAGTGAGTGTTTCCATGTTATGATTACATTTGTTTTCTTACACATTACAATGCTAGGAACTTAAATAACAAACACTTTAAAAAGAATGGCCCTTTGTAGCTCCATATCCCAAACTCATGGGATTGAGATGCTGTAGAGCTTGGCAGTCTTGTGGGTGGGGAGATGCCCTCCCCTTGAATGTATAAGTGACAGGTGTTTACATTGTCTGGTTTTGTGTTTCCTGAGGATATGCTTTGAGAGAACTTTCAATTATAATTAAAGGTTTGTAAACAGGAGGAAGTTAACTCAGTATAAAAGCCCATCTTCACTGACAGCGGAGTTGTATCTTTGCTGCTTTTTTATTATCTTATATTTTAGGACTGCTTTTATTCTTGGGGCAGCTGTTTGAGGAAGTTACCCAGGATTTAGGAGATAGATTTTGCCTGAGAATCTGATTCAAGGGCACAACCATTGCTAATGAAGTAGAAAGGCCCATTTTCAGAGGAGTCCAGGGCAAGGAAGTAGAGATGCTAAGGACAGAGGGCCTAAGACAGTCAAGGCCTGAGGGTCTGGAAGCAGTCGCATTTGAATGCAGTTGTGAGTGTTTTATCAGTCCTTTCCTTAATCCCCAAGCTTTCAGAACTTGGCAGCCTCAGCAGCAGGACCCACTGTTTCCCAGAATGGGGGCCTAGACTTGATAAAACCCTGGGCTGAGGAGCTGGGGGCTTGGCCCACCATCACTTAGACATTCAAGGGAAGGGCAACCCTCCCCCCTCCGCCACACACACACCCCTAAGGCTGCTGAGTTCTGCAACATCTCAGTCCCAGGAGTTTGGGATGTGGAGATACAAAGGGCCATTCTTTTCTAAGTATTTACTAAGTTCCCACAGTTGTGATGTGTCAGAAAACAAATGTCATCATAACATGAAAATATTCACTAAGAATCTGCCCATTTGTAAGAATGAGGCTCACTCATAGATTCTTCCCTCACTTCACAAGTGTCTCTCCCATCTGGCCCAGGTGAGTTTGAACAACTGTCCAATATAACAGGACAATACCATTTTAGAGCAAATCAACCGCAAAGTTCATGAAGTCAAAGAAAGCAGTGATGGGGAATTTCACATGCAAGGTCTTCGACCAAGGAGGTCAGATAGAGCTAAGCAGTTAAACAAAGAAAACACCATGAGCACGATGCCCAGATAGGTTCCTCAAGAGGGAATCATTTGAATATTGAGGGATTAAAAGAGATCCTTAGGAAAATGGATGAAGCCCTTACGTATTAAACAGAGTCTCTTAATTAGGTGCTGTAAAGTAAAATGTAAAGAACGTGTTATTATGTGAACAGATCATTTTGCTGGTATAATGAATGTACCCACACCAAAATCAACATTTTATTCTTTGTTCAATCTAAAAATTAGCACGTAACCTATATTTTGTAATCTGTATAGCTAAACATAAATGCCTCATCTGTACAATAAAAATCTCAATGTACCTTTAAATTAACTTGCTTTCCTCATTGCCTTTCTATAATAGAATTTCACTGAAAACCTTTTTTGCTATTTACTATACAATTTGGATTTTCATTTTAAGTGGATTTACTTTAAATTTTTAAGGGGCCTTTTCTAGTGCCCCCGCCCCTGACATATGAGGATCTCGGGGCTAATGGTTCTCATCTAAGTCTTTCTCCAGTTCAGAGGGAGCCTGTGTGGTCTGTGGTTTGACTTCTGAGGCCTCAGTCAGACACAGCCTACATGGTTGGTTCTACACCCAGAATATTTGGGGCCTCGGTCAATTCAAACCAAATCAGAGTAACTGATTCCCCAGCATGGAAGCCACACACCTTCTCCAGGTACCCACTGCAACCTGCACGAGCTGTCAGCAAACCCTCTGGCCAGCCTAGGGACTGTGACCTCAGCCCAGGGCACTTGACTTGGCCCCCAGCCAGGCTAGCTGAGGGCAGGGAGGGGGCACTTACTTGGCCGGCAGGGCTCTGGGCTGTCTGTGGCTCTCCGGGGGGCTCCTCGTCCTCGGGAATGTGGGGCATGGCAGCCTCCTGCTGGGAGTGGCCACGTGTGCCCGGAACCTCCGCTGTGTCAGCCCCAAAGATGCTCCAAGAGGCCTGGGCTCCACAGGCTGGGGAGACGCCAAAAGGACAAGTCAAATCCATTCCCACCCCTGTCCCAAGCTAGGTTCCGTTTCCCGGAGCCACAAGCCACAGTGAGAGCCGGCTTGAGTTTGCATCAACACCGGAGGTCAAACCAGGCTAGTAGAGGGCATTTGGAATTTCATTTCCTCCGGCTCTCTGGCTTTGTTTACAAAGTCAGAGGTGACCTTAGAGATTTTGCATCTAATTTGGTCTTTACAGTAAACACAGCTATCCCAGAAGGGAGAAAAGTGCTTCAAACCCCTCAAAACTGTAGCTAATGGAAGATACCCAACTGAGATCGGATTGGCATTTGTTTACCACTTACTGACCACCTACTGGGTACCGGGCCCTGTCCTAGGCTCATCACTATCATTCAATTGAACCCTCAGGATGACCTCTGATGTGAGCATTAATATTCCTGTTTTACTGATGAGAGAACTGCCACAGAGAGTGAAAGTGACTTGCCCCCAGTTATACAGAGAACCAAGAATTTAAACCCAGATCTTCCTGATTTTGAGGCTGGGGCTCTTTCTGCTATACCACACAGCATTCCTCGGCCACATGGATGGGGAGTAAAGGGTGCTGTTTCTTGACTTCCTCCTTGACACCACCCTTCATGCTCTTCTGACCCTCGGCGCAGGCTCTCTTACTTGAGTTCAGCCCTCGTGGGGCCTGTACCAGCCCTGCAGAAACCTGGAGGCTCAGGCAGGGTGAATTCCGTGTGCCCTGTGCCCAACCCCAGCAACCTTAGGTTGCCTCCCAGAAGCTAGACTACCCTCTCCCCATGGTGTAGCAGCCTGGGGGCACTGGGGTCCCAAAGCTGATTGGGACTGCAATCAGCATAATCTCATCCACCTCCCACAGTGATTGGCTCAGGGATGGACAATGGACCCAGCCTACATGGATGAGCATACAGTAATGTTCTGGGACTAGATGCTCTCTCCTGCTCTGAGGGGTGGAGTGTGAAGAGGTGAGACCTGGTGCTATGGACACTATTTTGCTTCCATGAGGAAAGCCAGACAGAATATAACTGACACACACAGAGGAGGGCAGAGCTAAGGGACCTGCAGAGAAACAGAATTGGAGCTCTGATCAAAGTGTACCTGAAGCCTGAACACTCTGGATTAGCCAGTTACACGAACAATTAAGCCTCTTGGTGTTGAAATCACTTTATGTTGGGTTTTTGTTACTCGTAACTGAAAACATACTCACTGTTCCTTCATGCTTCTTGTCTGTCAAGATGCCTAAGAGTATGATCCTGCCAATGGATCTTGAGCCAATGGGCCTAGCTCCTCTGCTTCCTCTTAGAACAGGAGTCTAGCAACACCAGGTCTCCACAGGGAAAGGCAGAATAGCAATGTAGAAAGAACACAGGCATTGGAACCAGATATGTGAGTGTGAGTCCTCTATACCACTCACTGGCTATGTGGCCTTGGAAAGTTGGCTTCATCTCTGAGTCCCAGTTTTCTTGTCAAAACAGAGATAGGAATGCCCCCCAAGCAGGATGTTCCAAGGACAAAACATACTCAGTTCAGTGTAGGTTCCCAAAGAGGCCACCTGCAGGGATTCTCGCAGCCCAGGAAGCTTGGCCAGAGCTCCAAGGGCTCTGCCTGGCCTCTCCCCATTTTTAAACTCCCTTCTTCTTCTCTTAGTGGGGTGGGTGATACTTTCAGGGATCTGCAGAACTAACAACTTGGCCTGGTTCTACAACATTTAGAGATTCCCTGAAGGAGCTGCTCCACTGGACAGAGGTTAAGGCCACCACACAGATAACGTAGGTGACTTTTGGCTGACGGGACACATGGTGGGTGGGGGTAGGGATAAAGGACACTGTCATTTACTGAGCACCAACTGTGTTCCAGGTCCTCTGGGAGGTACTGCTAACTGCTGGAGGTTGTAGGAGGAAGAGCCCGAAAGCCCTGCCACCTCCCATAACACTTGGTGTTCTTCCTGTCCTGCAGAAAGAGCTCAGAAAGGCCCTAGAGCCAAAGTGCTGCAGAACAGGCCCAGGCTGGCATGAGCCTAGCACTGACCGGCCCCCGAATCCCCACTAGCTAACACACATACCTCTAGACTCCTGGACTGAGCTCCTTAAGATAGGCGAGGTGTCAGATTCTTCCTAGATACCCAAAAGATTCAGCAAAGAATGATTGTCGATTTATGTTTAAAGAACTAGGGACTTTTAGTCCCAGAATTGGTCAAGGTGACCACCATCTTGACTGTCTCTGCAATGAACAAGTTAGGCCATCAGCTCTGGAACAGTTAGGGTGACCCCTACTGGTCGCCTCAAGAAATCTCATCTCAGGTAGAGCATCCATTTTCACTGCCAACACTTTACACCTACTCTACCAGGCCTGTGCCGGGGCTGGTGACATAAAGAGGATGATCTTGGCCCTCAAGGAACACAGTGTCCAGTGGTAGGAGATGCTGGAGAACAGTATAATGGGGTTAATATTTTGAAAGTGAGAAGTTGCAGGACCCCAGAAAAGGGTTCCCTAACTATGGAAATTGGGACAGTGGGACATGATTTTAGCAAAGATTCACATTCGAACTAATGTTTGAGCTGAGCCGTGAACACAAATGCTGAATGTAATTTCTTGGAACAGATTAGCTGGGTGTCTAGTGGGGAAGATTAGACAAGATGGAGAGAAGCCATACTGGACAGATTTCACCTGGCTCTTGGGAATGAGAGCTGTGGGGCCAGGGCATGCTAGCTTTTTCCATGCCAAATTCTTACTGTATGAGTAAACTGAGCATCAGGTTCACCCGAAGGTGAGCTCCGTGGTTAATTCCTGTCATCTGTACTTGGATTTCAGCAGCAGTGGCATCAGTGGCGCTGGGTAAAGCATATGATAACAGGGATCGAGGGCAACAAAAGAGTAGCCACCAACACCATTTCTGCCAAAGGAAGTTGGCCACATCTCCTAGGAAACCTGTTAAAATTATGTGTGATATATATATAGGTCTAGGCTGTCTTAACAGGGGTATGGTTTGTAAAACATGGGAGGTGACTATTCCACTTCTTCTGTCTTAATCTACACAAAGTGTATTGTGCTCTGCCTGTTAAGAAGGATTTAGACAAATTGGGACATGTTTAGAAAACGGGAAACAGGAAACTAGAAGAACAAGAATTTTTCTCTAAAGAACTAGAGAACTTGAGCCTGGAGAAGAGGAAGTGCAGGGAGAAATTAAAATCTCTTCTCAGATGTTTGAAAAGTATTCATGTGGTTCTACTGTCCCCAAAGGATAGATGCCATGACTAATGACTGAAAGGTCAGGTGAAGGCAAGGGCCACCTTCTAGTGGTTGGAATCACCTAAAGATGAAACAGGCTGCTCTTTAGGTGGCAAGTTCACCATTCCTTGGAGGTTCTGTTAAAGGCTGGGACTAGGGTCACAGGATTCCTAACCAATTCAGGGGCCTTTTCTAACTCTGGGAGTCCCTGAAATCCTGGACTCTTTTTAGCTACAACAAACCGAAAGACCTGACGATTCCATCCCAGGATTTTGGGATTATGGTCTTCTGAAGTCTCATGAGAAATAACCCATTTTCAAACCCTCCACTTTCTATCCTCCATCTCCTTCTCTTCCAAACAGAGTTTAACTCAGTCCCTGTGACAGAAAGCAAAATAGAACAAATGAATTAAGCTAGATGTCAGCTGCCACAGCATAAAGATAGAGTGGATGCTGGCTGAGGCCCCAACCTTGGCAAAATGGAACCCCAGGCTCCTCAGGGGTAGCCCCAGCAGCCCCGCCTGCTGGGGCCATTCCCACGCTGCTACTGCCCTGTTTGCTGTCTCTCCCATCCATTATTATAAGCTCACTGCTTAAAATAGAAAGGTAAAAGCAGAGTCCCTCCCCCAGGGTGACATCTGGGTTCCGCTGGAGCTTGTGGGCATGCGGACCTCACATCCATCACAGCAAAGTTTAGAATATAATCTCCAGGAAGTGGTGATCTAGAGCACCAGCCCATAAAAGGAAAAAATATTTAGTAATGTTTGGTCTCCAAGCCGTTCCTTCTTTAACCCATTTTCAGGGCCCTTCTTGCTGCCTCTCCAGTCTGGTTAGGAAAGGGTTAGGTGGGTCAGTGCCAAGAGCTAATCAGCTCTTTTGACTCTATTCATTCTGCCCCCAGCCAGTGCCTAAGTAAAACCTGACCCATTTTACAGGCAGGGAAACTGAGATGCAGAGATGGAAACAACTTGACTGGCTCAGCTAACTTTGTATCTGGTGCAAATTTTCCAAGAGTCTCTTCTGGGATAACTATCCAATCATTCGTGCAACTGAAGAGGCTAGAAGTTCCTAAACCATATTTAAATATTTTATCTGCCCCTGCTCACGAAAGGAAACAAACTAATATACTTTTGTTCATGCTTTAATTCTTCAGATATTTCTAAGTCACCTACTGAGCATCAGACACTATGCTAGATGTATTTCTTTATTTTTTATTATTATTTTTTAAATATATTTTATTGCATTTTAGGTTTTGGGGTACATGTGGAGATGTATTTCAAATGCTATATTGTTTAACCCCCATTAGATGCGTTTTATTATTTCCATTCAACCTAGTAAGGATCTAGGGCTCAGGTTCCACAACTTGGTTAATATCACACAGCTAGTAAGTAGCTGGTGAAGGGTTATAATCCAGGCTAGTGTGACTCCTAGGCCCATTGTCTTTCCTCTCTTCCATTCTGGCTTCTTCACCAGCAGTTCTGCTTGAGTGCAGCAGAAAAGCCTAGCAGGGGGCCCCCTGCCTCCAAGGGGAGAACTGGAGTGAGTACTCTCAGTGAGGCTAAGGATGGTGGGAGGCAGAGGGGAGGAAGCAGTACCTACACTTTGGTTGTCAGGTCAGGGGTCTTATGAGGGCTTAAGAGTGGCCCACAGTTGAGCCTGCATGTCCCCTGCTGTGTGGTGTGGCAGATTCATCCCCCCATCCTTCTACTCACTGTCTGCCAGTCCACCCGTTCCCCCCTCACCCTCTGACCTTTC